TACTATAACCACTACTACCATCACCACCACCAGAGTCATACCATACAAGTAATTCACATTTAATGGTGTCATAAATTATTTCCATTAGATTTAAAAATGGGAATAAATTTTTTTGGCCGAAAAAAAAGTTTACCCAAAAAATAAAGTAAAAAGTGATGCCGCTATTGCATAGTGTTAGTCAATGAATAAAAATTAACGTTTATTTTCTTTTTAAAAAAACAAAAATTATTTTTATGTTTATTGTTATTATAGTTAATATATTGATCCAATATATACATATACAGTATAATATATTTGTGTGTGTGTTAGTTACTGAGCATATAATACGGTACTATGAAAAAGGACAGTACTAGTCATGGCATAATCATACATATCGTATATGACTAAACTTCATACAGTATATCCTTATATGATGTGATGCCTAAATCTAACACATAAGTTGTTATCTAATATTATATAATATAATACAGAATGTATATTAATATTAAACATTATATGTATATAAAAAAATGAGTTATTATTTATGTAAATTGAAAATAAATATTTCAATTATAACCTCATTTGCATCAAATTAGTTTCCGTTTTCAATGTTATAATTAGGTTTATTATTATTATATTATTATAATATAGACACCGCTCAGGGAGTTTGTCAATGAAAGTGTGGAAGTGAGAGAAACTGAGAAAATAATCAATTTTGGCAACAATTTCATATACTATATACACATACATATTGTACTGTACTGTATAAACATAGTATTGCAGTGATTTTTGTTAATATAATTTGAAGTGTTATTATACAATAGCATTGAATGTCAGGTCGATAGCATAGTAATGGTTAGGCATACATATGGTATGAGCGAGTAATAGTAGCAGAAAAAAATATATACAGTAAAGTGATATCTAATAAATCACAATCAACTCAATTGTAGTCAAAGAGTAATTGGTTTAAGTGAAAAGTGTTGCCTATTTTTAGGGCAATCACAGAGTATTGGAGATCAAAGTATCACTTTTTTAACTCTCTCTCTCTCTCTTGAAAACTATTTTACAATATCGACTATACGTCTACTGTTCTCATATATTGTCGGCTTTTTTTTTCTCTCTCTCTCTCTGTCTTTCATGTATTAAAAAAGTTCGACACATATTGACCGACACTTATATATCGAGCTCAGGGATGTGATAAATAGAGCGATCGTTAGCTCACTATTCACTCAATCACAATAGGATTACATTTCTCAGTTGAATACCATTGACGTGTGTTTTTCAAGAGTGACGAGACCTGAGACTACTTGTGCTCTTTCTCTTCATAAGCATAGGTGTGCCGTCACTTCACTACCACTAAAACCATTAGTTTTTTTCTTTGGGTACAAAAACCCCACAAAATACTCCCACTATTATTGACGGACACAATAATTCTCATTCAATGGTATCACACACTCAAACCCAATAAATACAATACACGTTAGATAACAAGCATTTTTTTGGACCATTATATTTGTGATTAATTACATTAGTTAAAAATGTTGTCATTATTTTGTTGTTGTTATTGTTGTTGGTGTTGTTAAATACAAATTAGGAGTTTATTTAACTTCAGGATACAAGTGGTGTACTCCCTGTTCCCAACTTCGATCATCACATTACCACAAACTACCTCTTCTAATACCCACAAAAAAATTAGCAAATATTTATCTATACAATCAATTTGCACAACAATTTCTATTTAATAAAAAAAATTCTTTTAAAAAAGTTTTGAAAAAAAATCCATTACTTTTATAATCACTAATAATAATAATTATAAATTGAAAATTCCTACGAAAATTTAAATAAAATAAAAGATTAGTTTCAAAATAATTTTTTTTTAAGTAAATTGATGTGAAATAATATAAAAATTTCTTTTAACTCATCTCTAGACAGTCTATATGTGTGGTAAAGGATTAGCTATTTTTTAAATGAAACGTTTTATATTTCGAGACTAAAGAGGCATAAAATCGTTTTAAATTAATATTTTTCTCTTAAATAAAATAAGAATTTTCTCTTTTTTTCGACTGAAAATAGTGTCATAAAAAGGTCTCACCATTGATGGGGAGATAAGACTCTTAAAACTTTATATATAGATAATATACAATTACTAAACAGTTGCATATAATTATTGTTATATGATATAACAGTCACAAAAATATTTAATATTTAAGACAGAAAGACAAAGAGCGAGAGAGAGAGAGAGAGAGAGAGAGAGAGAGAGAGAGAGAGAGAGAGAGAGAGAGAGAGAGTAAGAGTAAGTCATTTCACGGAACTGTTAAGAAAAAAGGAGATTTGAAACAAATTTTTATATATGAGTGCCAACTGAACGGTACATCTGTTATATAATAGTTTAGTACATTATATAATAGTCTACTTTATTTCTCATTTATAGTTAACAAATATATATATATATATATATATATATATATATATAACAGATATATAGAAATATTATATCTTATATGATATGGTAAGTGAAAAACTTGTGACAATAAGAAGAGATTGCGGATGAAAACAGAAATGTTTGAAAATCTATTTTCAGAGTCACTCCTAACTCATGTATACAATAATACCTCTCCTCTCTCTTCATAGTAATTCCCAAAACGTTTTTATATACAGTATATATGTATTATATAAAGTATTGTAGTTTTTTTCTTCGCTAAAAGCTGAAGAACAGTTCGCTTTTTAGGCGAACCCTAATATTGAGGAATGCTTTTTAGCTTATAGTTTATGTGTGTTTTTGAGACCAAAAATTTTATTTTCTCAATGCAATCGCGTCTTTACTTTTGGGTATACTGTCCTCTAAAGGAAAAGTAAACTTAAGACATATATATATATATATATATATATATATATATATACATACAGTCCTCCCTTTCCTTTCACATACACTCACTCGCACTCCCAGTATTGCTATGAAAATCCTGTTAAACCTCTTTTATATTTAACAAAAAAAACTTATAAATATTTTAATAGAAGTTAACTAATAATAAAATGTATATTTTATTTCAATGACATAACACTTGCACTACTGTAAAGAATTTTTATCTTTTAAAAAATGCATATATTTTGATAATGTATTTTATTATATATTATTAATACATTATACTATATTATACTATATTTGTAATGTATTTAAGAAAATGCGTTAAATAATAATAAAAAAAGAAACTTTTATTAAATAATAAAATAAAATAAATTTTTAATAAATCTAATTTATTTTGTTTCTGTTTATGTTTAGATAAACAAAAAATATATGTAAAATATAATTTTGTTAACATCGCTATCAATATCATTGAATGTATACACAAATAAATGTACTCTAATATTGTACTGTATTTCACAGAATCTGTAAAATATACAGTGTATACACACAAAAATATTTTCTGATTAAAAATACAAAATTGAGTTATTGGATTAAATTTGTGTCTCAATAGTATTTTGGTGGGTGAGTGAGTGTGTGAGTGAGTTAGTTAGTGAGTGAGTGAGTGAGTGAGTGAGTGAGTGAGAGAGWGAGTGAGAGAGAGAGAGAGAGCTGAGAGAGAGAGCTGAGAGAACTTTAGAGAGTGGTATCGCTTTCAAGTCAGTATAAAATATAAAAAAAATATTTTTTTATGTATTTATTTTTTCTTCTTTATTCAAAAGTATTTGTATTTTATTTTGTTGTCTTTTCATTCACTCCCTAATACTGTATATACTTTATATATATAGCATATAGTGATATATTAACAAAAAAGGTATGATTCTTGTGAACCAACTTTATGTATGAAATATAAAGACTTTTATCTACCGATATATACGGGTATTTTGTTTGTTATTTATTTTACTATATATTTTTTTTGACACCGATATATGAAATAGATTATAATAGTTGTATAGCATATTTTAAACTATTCAGTGTCAGTTTAGGTAAATATTAAAAACTGGGTGTACAGTGTCATGAAATGCAAATAATTGACATAATCTAAAGTTTAAACATATAAAAAATGTGTGTATTATATATATATATTATATATATATATATATATATATATATATATATATATATAGTGTGTGTGAGTGAGTGAGTGAGTGCTGATGATGATGATTGAGATAATGATACTTCATTGAACTTTAAATAAATCGATTTGTATGTATTATCATTTATTATTGCTATTTAAAGATGATAGATAATATAATTTATATTCTTACCTAATAGTAAATGACAAATATATAAATATAAGAGAAAGTTTAAATATTTAAGTAATAATACAAAATAATATGTAATAAAAAAATCAAGGTGTGCTTAGAGTAAAATGTTTATTTCAATTAATGTGTTTATTGTTGTCAATCATAAGTTTGGAGATTAAACTATAATTAGAAACAAATATCAATAGTAATAGTTTTGTGAAACAATGAGAAAAAATTGTTCACAAAATAACTAAAAATAAATTCAAAATAAAACTCTTAGCACTTATATGCGATAAGATAGGGCTTATGTGATATAATATTTTAAGAGTTATAATTATATTTGTTTAATATATATTATATACCGTATATACTATATCCACATATAAAACATAAAAACAAATAATAAACTCGTAAAAATTCATTTAAAAATTTTCATATATTAAATAACACATACATATAAAATAAAAATAAAATAAACATATCATGCAAATCAGGCAATAATAAAAAATATGATTTTTGACATTCACTTTTGCTAATGCATGAAATAAAGTTATTTTTAAATATATTAGTATATAATTAGATATCCGCGTGTATAGACACAAACGTTGGGTTAATAATACTTAAGAATAAAAAATAAATATTAGAAAATAAATAAAATTTAAAAGTATCAAATAAAATGTTAGTTAATAACTGATGGTTAAATTTATAAATAAATAAATAAATATATTATGAGTATATATTATAAATTGTATGTTATGTTTATTATTATTTTTTATAATTATTTTTTATAATTATTTGTTTCATAGACTTACGTAAATTACTGGCAACAACTAATTGATGAGATTGAAGGCTAAACACTAGTAAAACAACTAAACAATATTTGACGACTAGATTTGGCATCAATGATGATGACGATGACTGTTGTTGTTGATGTTGATGTTGTTGTTGGGAAATGGTTGGCATCAGTGCACTGGTAATTAGTTTGCTTGTCTTATGTTTGTTATTATTATGCATAAAATTCAATGAATTGTTTTTTTGATGATTTCTGTTCCGTAATGATGTTGCTGTTGTTGTTGTTGATGATGATAAAGATGACATACATTGATGCGATGGACTGGGATGTGATGGCGACAAATATTGACGGTGCTTATCATTAGACATTTTGTTTGACAATTAAATTATAGCTACTATCAGTAGGTTATGACACATATGAAACTAATAATAATAATAATAACATATCGCGTGTAGAGATAACTAAAGACATACTATTATTATAGTATTAATAATAAAAAATGTTTGAATTGTTTGAAGATATATATATATATATATATATATATATATATATATATATATATATAAACAGTAGTTATATATAAAAAAAATAAAAGTAGTTATGATGTGTTTATTATGATTGCAACAAATTTATTGACAATAATAATATTAATTTTAAAGAAAAATTATTATTTGTTTTATTGATAAAGTAATCACTGTTACACTTAATATTGTTGTGTGATTTCGATGACAATATTGAATATATATATACAGTATATGTGTTTCCCTGTGTGTGTATATACTGTATGTCTTATCAATGACAGCACTGGTATTGTGTCATTTGGCAGTACTTCCGACACAAGTAGACATTATATGCCAAATGATATGACACACTAGCAATTGATATGATATGAATAGTTATTTCTTAATATATATATATCAAGAAAGAAAGGTTTACTTTATACTGTATATTATTAGACTTCTATCAGTTCAATAATAATAATAATAATAATATGATACACACGAGAGAAACAACAGTTTAGTTATAATTATAATATCGATATATTAAGAGATGAAAAAATAGTAAATAGTAGTGTTTCGCACACTGTTTGTGCTTTAGTGTTGATTCTGTAGTAAATAAAAATAAGGTATAGTAGACATCACTGATAACTATTTGCTCCCAGTGCTCACTCACTCACTCTCATTCATTAATCAATAAGAAACAGTTGAATCTTTTTTTTGGATACAATATTTGAAGGACAGTCTATACACTAGAAGTTTTGTTGATAAAACTCAAGATTCAGGACTCTTTCATCATCAGTACGTGGATGTGAATTGAATGGTTAGGGAGATTGAGAGAGAGATCGCTGGCACTGGTAGAGAGAGTCGATTGACTGGATATCTGTGTTGTGCCAAATGCTTAACGCAAAAAGTTTTTTCTCTCTAACTACCAGAAAGCCATGCGCGGCACCGGTAGTTAGTGGTAGTGTTCAACATAAACAACACGTTCCTCACAATTATAAGTAATATCAAACCTCTCTCTCTCTCTCTCTCTCTCTCCGCTTCTTTTACTAATCAAACAAATCTTTAAATTTTTTAATTCATTAACAATTAGTTTGGTATTGGGATCGGTATTTAACAAACAGGAAAAGTATTTGTAGTTTTTTTTTTAAATTAAAGAGTTGTTTAACATTCAAAATGAATAAACAGTTTTTTTGCTGTGATTTATTTATTACAAAATACATACACATAATACACGTATACAACTAATCGATAGACAACAAGATTACAGATCAATGAGTTTGTAGGCATTTGAATGAATGACTGAATAAATGGTTGAATAAGATATTTGAATACTAAATGTATTCAATGAGGAAATATACATACAGTGTGTGTATATTATATTATATACAACTATCTCTCAGATCCCCTCAAATATTATGCTCTGGTATTGGATCTGCATATTTGATAAGCAATATTTCACTGAGAAATTGTAGTCAATTGTTGTATTCATACAACTTTATAGTTCAATGTGTTTTAAAATTCAAACATTTTTAGTGTAAAAGTTATCATTTAGTTTATACTGTTATATGACATATGCCTTAAAATTGAAGCAAACATTTATATGTCATTCATAGTCAATGGTTTTATTTTTGTTATTTACTGTAAGGATTGAAATGAAAAGAGAGGCAAAAATAAAGAGAAAATGCATTCAAAATATATTTATACACATATGACTCAATAGGTACACATTATATCTAATGGTATGGGTTTACTATTGGGTTGTTTGGTTTGGGATGTCTAGCATTTTGTACACAAATTATAATGCATATCATCCTAATGTCATTTGGTTGAAGAGAGAGAGAGAGAGAGAGAGAGAGAGAGAGAGAGAGAGAGATAGCGATAGGAGGGATGGGTAGTGACTGTATATTTCAACACATAGATAACTATCACCCGTATAGCCGAGTGTCAGATAAATTCAATGAAATATATAGTCGTGTGTTTCATATATCTGTAGATAATATTTTAAAAACAAAACATATGAATGAAATATATGGCGAGAAAACCATTTTTGAAGCGTTAAAACTCCGGGAACTTAATGTGAGGGGACAGGCATTTAGTGGGATATATGGATGGATGTGTGTTCCGAGAGGTTTGACCCCAGTATTGACTACATTTAGGAAATGATTTTTTTCTTTTTATTCTACACTCGACTGTTGATTGAAACACATTTGTTATAATCAGTGATGACTTCTTTTTTTTGTTGTTATGAGACTCCCATACCCTCTATCAATGCCCACGCGTTCATTGAGTGAATATGATATGCATTTTCAAATCAATTATATTATCAGTCATTATAGAAAAATTTATTATAATACATATGAATTATTATATAAACTTTTTAGTTTTATTTAAACAAAAAGTATTGCTTATATTTGACTTAATTTAATGACCGCCACAATGTGTAATCATTTTTTTCTTCTTATATATTATTAGTTTTCCTAAACTAAATCATTAAAATTATTAAATTTTGAATTTTTAAATTATAATTTATATAACAATTTATATTTAGAGTATTACTGTATACATGAATATAGATTTCTAACTTTTGAAACTCTGAAAGCATATATTTATAAAAAATTTAATGATATTAATAGTTTTATGTCATTTATTATACAATTTTATTTTTTTAAACAAAACAAAAAATATATATAATTTTAAAAGTCATACGTATCATCTATAAAATGAAATGATATTTTATATTTAGTTAATAACAGTTTTACAACAATGCAATTATAAATGATTTGTAGTTTTCAACTATGTATTTGTGAAAATATTTTATGAATGCTATTTCAATGTTAAATAGCTATATATATATATATATATATAATGTACAGTAAATTAGATGTTGAAATAAATGTCAAAAAATTAAATTCAAATCGTTTATAAATATAATTATTACTAAACCATAGTCAAAAAATAAATACTAAACACAATTATAAATTATTAGTAAATCTACCATAAAATACAGTATATTTTAAATCCATTTTATCACTACACTAAAAGTGCAATAGTTTTTTATGTAATAATAATAATACTAAAAATACAGTAATAATAATCACAATAATCATAACTTTAATTTTCTCTAAATTATATAAGATATAAAATTATTTATATCATTAAAAAAAACTCTTGTGAAGTAATTAGCCCTCACATCATACATATACTTACTTTTACTTTTCAACTAACTATAGATATAAAAAAACTTGCAAAAGTTTGCCTTAACAAAAAAATTAGCTTAATTTAAGTGTAATCTACAAAAATTTATGCATAATTATAACACATAATTAAGTAATTCTAGTACTAGTATAGAGGGTATACATACTTTTACATAAATCATTAATAACTTAAAGTCAGCCCAAACATTAATGTCATTTTTCAATTAGACTTTTGCATAATTTACTGTATCTAATTTTAATAACAAAAAAATATATATACAGTATATAAAAATTAATAATATCATACAATAATATGAAGAATAATAATAATAAATTAACAATTTAAACCACAAATTAATGTTCACAATATTAATGTATTGCATAGTTATAATGGAAATAAATTTTTTTGTATGTATATATGTATACTGTTTACATCATATATTAGTACTTTATTTCGTACATAAGGTTAACAATATTTAAGTGAAACCCACCCTAAAATCTAAAGGTTTGTTTAAATATCATTTAGTATTTATAATATTGTTTTTTTTGTAGCCATAAAAATCTAATTGTAATTATAATTATTTTTTAATGCCCAGACATTATAAACTCCCAATAGATGCTTGTATTGAAGTTTATTCATAAGTCTAGTTTAATAACCGGAATAATGTTTTTTTTATAAATAAATATTACAAAATAAAAGTTGAAACATGTTGTTAATATTTTTTTGCATATTATAATAATTGTTGGTTTAAGTTTAATAATTATATTTAATATCATTGACAAGTTTATTTAATAGTTTGAAATAATAAATACTTTATTTATATTTTAAAAATATTATCATTAACAAACTAACTCAATTCAAATTGCAAAAATAAAGTTTTTAAAAACATATAAATATTTATAATTAATTATTTCAAACAAACAAAAATGTTTGTTATAAATATATTTTATTTCATCAAAAAATATTATATATTTTTTAAACATTTAAAAAAATATTTGTTTGAAAATTTATTTAAATTTATACAATAATCAATTTTTATAAAACAATTCACAATTTTTTAATAATTTCTTCGTTTTTATTTAAGTCTAGACATTAAGGAAATCTAATTTTAAATACATAATTTGTAGTTTAATTAATATTTAATATACTATTAATAATTTATATAATAATAATAATATTTACAGTGATGTAGTTATATGATAGCAAATATTGAAAAAACAAAATTAACATGGGAATCCCATAGATAGAAATTTCTTTTAGAAACTTTCTAGAAATTTCTCTATTATTTTATAAATTTCTCTTTTTTTGCCAACATTAATTAAGAATATTTTTTTATAGTCCAATATTATATTACATTTAAATATATATATTTTTAAATTAATGATTAATCAAATTGTTTAATTTATGTTCAATTATTAAAGTTAAAATGATTTTTTATAAATATTATTTAATACATATTTGTTAGATGATATATTTATAATACAGTATTGTACTTAAATATCATATTGTTTATTCATAATACAGTACTTAAATAGCATCATAGTTGCTAATATCATATTATATATAAATTTGTATATAAATAACTGTTATTGTTATATAATAATTATAATAATAAATTAAAACTAATCAATAATATAATAATTGTTATTTGTGATTTTAAAGTTTACAATTTTTAAGCAATAGTAAAATTAATACTAAACTATCGTTTAATAGCATAAGTAATGGCAATGCTAGAAAAACAATTTGTG